CCCGGGCCCTGAACTGAGCAGAGCTTACCCCTCAGCCTGCCACTGAGGATGCCTAGGAGATAAGGGCAGCAGCCACCACCTCTGTGAGGACAGATTTGCCATTGTGTTGTCAGAGCCACCAAGGACAGAGGAAGGCCAGCTTTCCAGGGAAGCACTGGTGATACCTGAAAAGCTGTGGCCTACAGCCCAGCCTCTCTGCACACAAGCCCCCAGAGCAAGAGAAGACAGAAGCAGGGCCGGGCGTGCAGACACCGTAGGAGAGCCCACAAGCTCCTGGGGTGAGTAAAGACTTGCCTGGAGCAACAGGACCAACCAAACCATCGGCAAGCCTGCCAGCGGGTGGCCACCAGGCTCTGCTGCTTGCTGAGGAATGACTGCTTGGGAAATGGTCTCCAGCTGGCCCAGCCCTCTGAATCCCACAGGACTTTCGATCTCACTTGGTAACAGGCCCTTACCATAGAGAGGTCAGGTCCTCAGCGCTCTGCAAGACACACGCACGCATCTCCAGGCTGTTCCAACTGGGACACTGTCCCTCCTCCCTGTCCAGGTTCTCTGCCTGGCCCCACTTACCCAAAGGCTTCCTCTGCCGACTCTAGTCAGCAGCCTTTCCTCCATTAAATGTTGCAGACAAGAAGAACTGATCTTCCACTTCATGGGGCCCATGCCCTTCCTTCCGCTTTCTACAAGCACCTTCATGATAGGAATGAGAGCCATGCTCTTTCCTTTTTCTCCACCTGTTATGGTCTATTTTTAGATGTCCCCTGACAGCCTCCTGCGCTTAAAGTTGGGACTTTCAAAAGTCGATTGTAGACTGGTGGGGGGAGGGAGGAAAAAAAAGTCAATTGTAGGGCCAGGAATTTAGCTCAGTGGTTCTGCTGCCTGCCTCATAAGCACAAGGTACTGAGTTCGATTCCCAGTACCCACCCCCCAAAAAGATAGTGGTTCTGCTGCCTGCCTCATAAGCACAAGGTACTGAGTTCGATTCCCAGTACCCACCCCCCAAAAAGAAAGAAAGTCGATTGTATTAAGGGGCAGGATAACTGGCTTGCAGTTTGAAGGCAGGGTCTGGTTGGAAAGTGCAGGTAATGTGGGTGCGGCCTGGAAGGGTCTATTTTCTGGGTTCCTCCTCCTTACTTAGCTTCCAGCCACCATGCCCTGAGAAGACTTTTCCTACCATGTCTATCTGCTATGCCATTGTACCTGGGAGCCAGGGGACTAGACTGAAACCTCCACAAACTGTGAGCCAAAATAAATCTCTCATTTAAGTTACAGGTGTCAGGTATTTTGTCCCAGCAACAAGGAAAGTAACTAAGACAACACCTTTTCCTAAATCCCTCACAATAGGGCTGGCAATATAGGAAGTGCCTCCTCTAAATATCCATTAAATACCTCTGTTTAGCATATGTCCAGATCAGTATTTATTTATTCACTGATCTGAAAACACCCGGATGTCTAATGAGTAGTGAAGCCCTGCTTCCCTGCAAGGAAGGGCCACTTACTCAATGTGCCCAGCAAACCCAGAACCTCTCGTGATGATTTGCCTGGTGCGACAGTTAACTGACTGCATCAATTTGAGTATGAAGTGCCCAACTAAACTGGATCAGCAGAGTTCTGAGTGTGGCTGAGAGGATTTACTGAAGACAGGAGACCCACTCTAGGGCAGTTTGTCACCCGCATGGTATAAAGGGGAAACAAAGAAGGAAGGCTCGCTTCTGTTTCTTTGGAGGAGCTCCAGTCTTCACCTTCACCTTGGACATCCTCTTAGTCTTCCAGTGCAGACCTTCAGCCTCCACAGATCCTTCAGGCTTCCATCGAGGACCCTTTTCACCTCCAGGTAACAGACGCGCATGGACAATGCAGTGAGCTCCAGGCCTCTTGACTGGGTCCTTCGGATCTTCTGCTCACAGAGAGCCCTTTGGCGCTCTCTCTCATGTGACTCTGTGGGAAGCCACTGTAAGCCAATTTTATCAATTCTTGTACATACGTGTATCTTGCATTAAATCTGTTTCTCTAGTAAGCCCTGACTGATACTCCTGGTGTTTGTCATTTCCCTCCAGGTGTCACAGCCAAAGGCTCCTGGAAGCAGGACCACATCCCTTCCACACTTGCACACAACCAGGGGGTTCTGGAACCCTCGGTTCTTTTCAGTGGGAAGGAATGAAGTTAAGTACAAATGACTTTTCCAGCTTGAGACCGTGGGGCTTTCTTGAGGACAGTGGCCAGCTGAAGAACTGGCAAGACACGCAGCTGGTGGCACGCACCTCCACACACAGCCCAGCGGGGCCAGCTCCCAACTGCTCCTCCAGTTGATGGATACCAATCCCAGGGATGACATCAGCTGAAGAGTCATTTTAGGGTCAGTGCCACAGTCGGGCAGAGTCTGCCTTGGCATTTGCTCTTCAGGCAAAAGGACATATTCTCATCTACTGACACTGTCACAGCTAACAAAGGAACAGGGAGGACAAGGACTTAAGTCAGTGAAGGCCAACCTTGTAGAGCTTTCAGTGGTAACAAACAGCCCACTGCAGCATGCGTGCCATAGGTTTGCCACCGCTGAACTTGTTAAGAGTCACAGGACTTAACGTATGCTGACGGTATGTTCTGCCAAGGTGCACCTACAGTTTTTTGTTGTTTGTTTTGTGGTACCGGGGATCGAACTCGGGTCCTTGCGCTTGCAAGGCAGGCCACTGAACCGCTGAGCTAAATCCCCGGCCCTGTTTTTTGAGACAGAGTCTCACTATGTAGTTGAGACTGACCTGGAACTCACTATGTAGACCAGGCTGGTCTCAAACTCACAGCGATCCTCCTGCCTCAGCCTCCCGAGTGCTGGGAACACCTAGAGTTTTTCCACCTTTTTTTTTTTTGAATAAGCAGTGGAACGCTTCTGTAAAAGCACTATATTTAGTTAGTGAATTTTTCCTGCAGTTTCTGGCACCAAGTGAGTAACTGAAACAACACTGCCACAGCCAGTGTGGAAACAGGCTACAGATGTGTTTGTATGCTGGTTCCTCTGCTCCCATGGCAGAGGGACAGAGTGCCCAGTCAGGCCTCTCCCAGTCTCCTACCCCATTCCTTTAACCTCAGGTATATTTTACAGCTTGGAAACTGAGGCAAAGATAAACTGGAACCTGCCCAAAGCTCCACATAAGGAGTGAGCAACAAGGCCAGGATCCTGGCTTCAAAGCAATGCCCACGCCGCCCCTACTGCCCCCCTTGGGCTCTCTGAATGCCTCACCTGATGCACCACTGCTGTGCTTGAGGCAGGTACAGACAGGCATGGTGCCAGCCAGCATTGTCACATAGCTGATGACTGAATAGCTCCTCGGGACTCTGGAGGGCTGTACCTGCGGTCCTGGGTCACTTTGTCATGGGAGCATGAAGAACAGCTCCGTGCACCCTCCCTGGGGCTAGCACTGGGGTTGCCTGCCTATGTCTGCGGGTGGGGGGGTGTCTGTGTGTGTGCAGGGTCAAGTCTTAAATTCCCACTCTGTTTCAGAGGCAGTGCCAATGACATCCTGTCACTGCAGGTTCTTCATTTAGCTTCGCCCCAGCCCTCCACCAAGCCAGGAGAGAGCCCTCTGCTGCCATGTGGCTAGTGACATGTCTGGCTGTTACCCCTGTCCTCCCTCACTACTTGTGCGAGGTGTTTCCTGGGCAGACATGCCTCTTGTCGCTGCAATTTGAGCTCTGGCATGGATCTCTGTCTGCCAGCAGGTAGACAAAGAGCAGCCGCTCACCCCCAGGTCCATTCATTCTGCTCCTGCAGGAAAGTTTTAAATCCAGGGGTTCTTCATTCCCGGCTCTATCCTCCCAGGGTTCAGCATATAGTAGCTGCTCAATAATATGCGGTTGCTTTTTCAGTAGAGGTCATGCTGCAACATCCAGGCTGGCTTCTAACCCCTGGGCTCAAGTGATCCTTCTGCCTCAGTGTCCTGGGCACTAGGACTAAAGGGTATGCCACTACATCCAGCTAGGCACGTACTTTTGATGGAATAAAGTACTCATCTCGAGGTTAGTCGGTTAGTCAATGATCTGTTTACTCAGAACATAGGAAAGAAAAGCACTTGATGGAAGTTTGAGCCTCTTACCCATCTCTTTGAAGCTTGGGCATTTGATCAGACTGTGATTGTTTGTCTCCTTTAAATTGCATTAGCAGATGGTGTTTGACTTCAGACAAAATCACACATCTCATTAATTTTGGCAAATTACTTTATGCCAGTCCCTAACAAACACCAGGACTGCTCCTAGTCCACCACTGGAGCCTCCGGCTTCAGGAGACCACCCATTTGGTGCCAAGGGCTACAATGTCACTTGGTCTGGCAACCCCTGCCAGGGCTAGTGTTACTCCATAAGTATTTACCCATAAAGAGCCTGAAGACTTGTCCACGATCACACAGCTGGTGACTACATGGCTGGGATCAGAGCCCAGATCTTTCCAACTGCAAAGAAATGCTCTTTCCACAAAGCCTACAAATGCCACCAAGTGCCAGGGGTTTTGCTGTGGGCTTAAAATCTGATTAAAAGTTGCCTTTCCTTTAAGCAGCGGGCAGGAAAAGAGAGAGGCTCAGGAGGAAGGACTTCTGCCAGCAGGCAGAGGCTCTGACTTCAGTGCAAGAGCAGATGCTCTCACCCTCTGGGCAGTGGCCTGAACCTTACAGAGGGACATCACATCACGCCTGTTGCGGTCCCATGCAAGACTTAAAAAGCTGAGCTGCCTCTCAGGCTGAGCCCAGGGTTTATCGTGTCACTCCTAATCACAGTGGCTGAACGTAAAACATTAGGGAATGGACAAAAACCTCTGTAAGTAGCAAAGGAAGCCTGCCCTACCACTCTCACTGAGGGCTGGGGCACACCCCGCGGCACCCCTCCTCTGCTGCCATCGAGATCTAACTGAAACTGCCTGGCACTTGTCTCATCTCCCGTGTCTCCACCAGAAACACAAAGCCCTGTCAGGCACCATGGACCTGGACTCTGCGTTCTCCAGAAAAGGCAAGCTTTACCTCCCAGAAGCTGTCACTGCTCACTTCTACTCCAACGGAATCGTCGTAAGTGACAGACATTTCTTCAAAGGGTGAGGGCAGCAGCAAATGCTAAGAGGTTCAGAGGTCCACTCCAGATGCTCAGAATCTGCAGACAGACCTGTGAGAGAAAAAAACATTGCTGTGGTTTGTACAGCCCCGAGGCAAAAAAGCAAGTCGTCCCCATCTAAGGACTTCCCATTGCCACCTTTGCTTTACGTACAGAGCAGGCGAAAATGTTTCCTTTAAGTTGGAGGAAGTGATAATTTCATCAGCTCTGGCACTGATACGTGTTTTATATCACCAAGGAAAGCTCATCATCTTCCGAAAGCACTTGCTGAAGAATACTTCACATTCTCAGACCCACCCACTGATCCCTCACTGAAAACCCACCCCTCTCTCGAGGAAAGCAGAGGCCTGTGCAAAATACAGGCCAAGCAGGCAGTTTTTGGTCTACTGCTCGCCCACCTGGAGGGAGCCCATCTTAAAACCCTGTGGCAGAGTGAGGACTGGGTGGTGACCATTCCCACCTCCCGTGTCCGACCCCACCCACCAGAGTTCCCACCCGACCAATTATGGTGGGCACTGGGCCCCACCCTCATCTTGCCAGACAGATCTCAGCAACTGAAGCCTGGGATTCAGACCAGTTTATTTTGATACTGTGAGCTCAGCTAGAAAGAGAAAGACTTTTCAATCCCTTCTGAGTAAGAGTCAGTGACCTACAGGCCAGGCCAGGGCAAAGGGGTGATCACTTCACCTCCAGGGCCTTTGCAACCTGAATGAAACTGCTTCCTCAACCTTCTTCCTTCCCTGCAGCCTGCATCCCCCAGTGAACAGGCCAAAACCTTGACTTAGCAGGGGGTGGGGGGGTACATGTGTAGGGGGAGCAGCTCGCTCTCCTGGGGCACCCACAGTGCAAGGCTTTGTTCTGGGCACTTACTTATCAAGTGGCACTTTACTGCCTCCTTACATCCAGTTGTATCTAGAAAACACACACAGCCATGGGCCAAGCTGGCATTAGTATCATGCCTGATGGTATCAAAGGACAAAGGGACACAGGTCTCTCCAGATAGGTCACAAGGCAGGAGATCCAGAACTAGGGCAGGAACTCCAGAAGGTAGTCTAGCACCCAAGGAAGACAATGCTTCTTTGGAATCTGGGTGTCTGGCCTGCAGCCCACAGCACTGGAACAAAAGCAAAGACTTTGGGAATTCTTGAGTTTCCATTTGGCCTGTTTTGTCAAATATTTCTAAAACAGCTGGGTGTGGTAGCATACGACTATAATCCCAACACTCAGGAGGCTGAGGCAGGCAAGAGGAATGTTCTGAGTTTGTGGCCAACCTGGGCTATCTAGTAAGTTCAATACCAGCCTGAACTACATACACAGCAAGATCCTGTCTCAAAGAAAAAATAAAATAAAATTTTAATGGTCCAGAAACATTACTCTCAGCTACTACAAGAATATGGACATTTTAATAATACTATTTCTAAATAAGATGTTGCCACACAGACCAAGCCAGGAGAAGACAGAGAATTGCTCTCTTTCCATATTTCCAGGCAGTGCTGCCCTAACAGCCTCGGGACCTCAGGGAGAGCTACGAGGAAGTTGCTTTCAGAAATGACTGGTTACAATGGCTAAGCTGTGACAATCCACAAGGGCTTCCAGAATCCTGGAGTACTCTGGGTACTTCTGTCACCTTTAGTCCTCAAGACTGCCTGTGACCACAGCCTAGAGTCACCTACAATTAGGCTACCTATGCTGAAATCCTAGACCTGCGACTCACTGGCTGAGCAACAATGGGTAAGTGCACTACCTTCTCTATGCCTCAACTACTTTATCTATAAAAAAGACAATAACGGAACTTATATCACAGAAGATCCAAACACAAAGGGCTTAGAACAATACTTGGCCCATAGTAAGTGCTACAGACAGAGTAAATAATAATGAACTCAGTGCTGCTGTCATTATCACTGTGAAGTAATTAGTATTACTATCATACTTTTGTTTCTATTTTACGGTTGAGAAAACTGATGTTTTGGGATGTCAAATAACAGGCCCAAGGTCACCAAGTAACAAAGGTTACCTGACATGAATTCCACCCATTTTTTAGGGTAATATTCTCTCCACTACACCAAGATGTTTTCCAAAAAACGTTATCAGATTTAGGTAAGTCAGGTTTCTGTCACCTAACCCTAACTGCTGACTGCCAGGGTTTAGTCTCCTGGATACAGGGAGCACCCCAGCATGCAGCTCTCAGCACAAAGCAGGAACAGATGTTTATGGGGCACTTAAATGCCTCACACTCCAAACCACTTGGGCTGCAGAGGCAGAAACGGCACGGTTAGGAATGATGCCCTAACAACAGGCTCTTCACATGGACAGATCCTCACCATGGACACACTTGGTGATGGCTCCACTGCACAATCAAACCACCAAGGTATCACGAAGGCCACCTGGCTGGGCCCCTGCTGCTGTGTCTCACCTGTGGACTCCTACACTACCAGCCAGGGTCCTCCCATAGATACTCTTGCCCACAGTTGCAACAGCAGGGTCTCCTACCCAGAGAGGTGGTCTTCTTCAGGCACCTCAGAGAATACTAGGCCTCTTGGCACACGAGTCTCAAAGTGGCCCAATCAAGCCACTGCTGGAATGCCTGACAAGATCCTACAGCAGCTGTAGGGAGAGCAAGAGTAGACTGGCCCTCCCAATACTCATGTCCTGCCTGGATACAGTGTGGCTCCGACACTAATGGAAGATCAGTTCTATACGGGATTTATGAAGAGCCTACCAGTGCCAAGCACTAAGGAGAGGCTCAGCACAATGGCCAACTTACAGGGGCAAGAGCCTGGATCCCTACATCACAGTTAACAAAACCAAGACACACTTAAGTTGCTAAGAACACCCTAAAGAACATGTTTCCACTGGCCAGGGAACAAGAACACCTGGCAAGGGGACCTGCCAGAGCTGCACAGGGGAGGGCCCAGGTGAGGACTCCTTCCTTCCAACTGGCATCCTGTGCCACCTTGGCTCACATCATAACCACAGCCAGCGCACCCATCCTCATGGGCACTATTCAGAGCTGCTTGATCTCAACCAGCCCCCACCAAGTCTTCACCTCCCAACTTACATATCCTCCAAGAATATCTGGTTGTCTTTAATCTCAGTAAAACAAAACTAGGAAGACAAATCTCCTTTTGCAAAACTATACAAGGCATTCTGGACCCAATGACCTTGAAATTTCTGCACTGTCATTGTATCTGTGAGCTGTGATAGCTCAGAACTAAATGCATTTCCTTCTGTACCCTCTCAGTAGATTTCACTCAGGATCTCGCTGAACTTTGCAGTCTGAAGCAGCAAAGGCATCCGAATTCCTACAGAAGACACTGAGGCAGGGTAAAAAAGCAGGCACAGTGATGCGAAGAACTGAAGATATGCCAGAGAGGTAATAAAATAATGAAGATGAAAATGAAAATGCCCACGGGAAAAGCCTAGGACAGACTTCCAAGTCAGAAAACTCCAGGTCCAACCCCAGCTGTACTACTGAGCAAGGGTGACTGGGAAAACCATGATTTCTCCAGGCCCATGTTCCCAGCTGTGCCTCACGACACCTGAAGGTCCCAGGACCCCAGGCTGCAGCCGTGGCAGGGCCTCCTTAGATGGGAGCACTGTTCCTGGCCAGCACTGCAGGCTCCGTGTGTCCTCACTACTCCCTTCAACTGCACCCGACTGTCACAGGGCTGCATCATATAAACCCAACCACTGGACCAAGGATGTAGCTCAGTGGCGCCGTGCCTGCCTGACAGGTGCAAAAGTCCTGAGTTCAATTCTCAGTGTGACAAAACAAACAAATCCACTCAACTGCTATCACAGCACTGGGAAACCTGGAAGCACATCTGACGCTCAGAGTAATGCCACCCTTGGGACCTTGAGAGCAGGCTCTAGCACCCAAGTGGTGCTTTCACACTGTAGCTCCTACACCCACACTCCCTGCTCCCAGGGCTCTGCAGCATGGGCCCTATCCCACCCCATCCCCACAGCACCTGTACCACCTCAGCATCTGGTTTCTCCTGCTCCCTGCTGCTGCATACTCATAGTCTGTTCTCTCCAGGGACAGCTCGACGCCCTTCTGGCTCACACGGCACCGATGTGCAGCACCCAGCAGCAGCTCTGTCTTGAGCCAGACTCTCGATCCAATGAAGAGCTTATTTTCCTTACAGGACTATATGAAGATTAACAAGGGCAAATAAAAGTTGTCTGGCATACATCTGACACTCCCAAGGTGGTAGCCATTTCTCTTAAAACCAACATCCAGCTGGGCATGGTGGTGCATGTCTATAATCCCAGCTACATGGAAAGCTGAGGCTGGACGATCCTAAGTTTGAGGCCAGCCTGGGTAATTCAGACCCCATCTTGAGGAGTGAGGATACCACCCATGGAGCTACTCAAAAGTAGTGAGCAATGTCAGTGACCAGAGGTAGATATGGTATTCTCCTTTTCGTTGCTATTGGGATAAGCACACTTTCTGAGCCTGCCACCTACCACCAGTCCTTTTATTTTTATTTATTTACTTTTTGGGGGTATGGGGGATCGAACTCAGGCCCTTGCTCTTGTGAGGTAGGCAGAGGCACCACTGAGCTAAATCCTGGGCCCCACCAGTCCTGTCTTGACCAGAGATGAGGAAGTTAGTCATCACTTCCTGCCTACAGAGACCTCCACAGGTACCAGACCAATTTGTACATGTTTAATCCTAACAAAAACACTGTGAGGTACCACTTATCATCATGTACCTTGTAAGAGCAGGGAAACTAAGGCACCGAGAGAACAAGGAATTTCCCTCAAGATGTAAATAAAGGAAGCGACAGCCACGCTCTTAACCACTGACCATGACCACCTCAGCACTGAGCTGAGATCTTCCAGAACATAGAAAGTGGAAAGCCGAACACTGGCTGCAGTGTGCTGTGCCCTTGGGAGCTACTGCTCAAGTCTGTCTTTGTGAATGGTCTGCTAGTCTAAGCCTTTCAGACAGACTGAGCAAGTAATTCAGGATCTGGTCTGCATCTACCTCACTGGTATTTTGTGTCAATTACAGATGTTGCTCTGTCCCTTAACTTCTCATTCCCACATGGTGCCACCTGTCACTGATGTTCTTCATTTTAATGTGGCATTCTGGTCAGTATTTTCTATTAGCGTCAATGCTTTTTAATGTCCTATTCAGGAAGCCTTTCCTGTTCCCGAGGTTGCCCGCAGTCCCCTTTAAAGGGGTGTGGGGGGGTGGGAGGGGCTGTTCCTTTAAACTCAGGAACGGTTCTGCATGTAATGGTGGCACGAAGGTCAAGCTCCATCTGTTCCCACACAGGCACCCAACCATGGCAGCGCCCTTTGCTGAAAAGGGCTTCCTTTCTCTGTTTCAGTAGTGCCACGCCTCTCAGGTAGGCTCTCTTCTGTGGTGACAATGCTTCACTGTCTTAGTTACTGCACCTTTAAAGAATGCATGGAGTCCAGGTCCCATCTGCTCTTTTGTTCTTTCTAGGCCGCTTAACTACCCTTGGCCTTGGACATTTCCACATAAATCTCAAAACCTGTTGGTTCAGTTCCACCAACCAACCCTGCTCAGAGCTCCACTGAATCCTCCAGTCACTGACATCTCCGTGACACCTTCTTCCCTGCTTCGCTTCCTCCCCTCCTCCTCTTCTGTGGTGGGGGATTGAATCCAGGGCTTGTGAGTGCTTGCTAAGTGCTGCACATCTGAACTACATGCCCACTCCTTTTCATTTTTTATTCTGACATAAGGTCTACATTGCACAGGCTGGTCTTGAATTTGTGATCTTCCTGCCTCAGCCTCTTGAATAGCCGGCATTACACTGCCTAGCTCTTTTTTTAACTTGTAGAAATGAAAGCCTAAATTCATTAATGTTCAGCCTTACTTCTTTTCAAATAATATGCATGTAAAACTATAGATGTCCCCTAAGAACAGTCTGAGCTATATCCCAATCTCACTCATTTCTTATAACAGTTTCACAAGGTATTTATTTCCTTTCTACAGATGAAAAACTGAAGGTCAAGTTACTTATACAAAGTCATAATCTATAATAAATGATGTGACCAAGATTGAAAATCAGGTTGTTTAGTTCTAAAATCCAAGTTCTTCCTATTACAGTTAGTAAATTAGCAATTTACAGGTATTATGAATAAAACACTATGAAACTATCAAGAGAACAGGAGTCCTTTCTCCATAAAGTACATACACAGAACTGGAAAGGAGCTTGAAGGCAGATGGGATCTACTCAAGCGCACAGCAGCAGGTTCTCCTGTTCCTGTCTGTAAAGGTGGTCAAGAGTGTCACGGGAGACCAAGGACATCTCACCTGTCCCTGGAAACTCAGGACTGGGTGATTCATGTAAGTTGCAGATCAGCTCTCCAGCATCTGGCTCACACAGTGACATTATGCACAATGAACAGTGAGATCCATTCTTTTCTTTTTCTTTGGTACCAGGGATGGAACTAGGGTCCTTGCGCTTAGAAGGAAGGTGGCAGAACCACTGAGCTAAATCCCTGGCCTGAGATTCATTCTTTTACAGCCAGGATTTGATTGGCAATTCTGACTTGATATGGTACAATGATCAAGCACTACTCTAGACCTTATGTGACCTCTTGAGACACACTGTCCACACTCAGGCTCAGAGATGGGCAGCAGGGGACTGGAAAGAAAGCTCCCAGGGGGCATCAAGGACACAATTGTCTTGTGTCAACCTGAAACTGGGAAGAGGGGAAGACCCGCCATTATCAGCCACTGCAGTGAGTCTGGCTCATTCATCCAATAAATGCCTAAGTTTCAAGAACTAGGCTAGTGCCAGGCACACAGTGGCTACAATTTAGGTTCTTTTAAATAAAATTGAAAAATACAGCCAAACACAGTGGTTTGTGCTCACAGACCCAGCTACCTGAGGGGTTGGGGTAGGAAGATCATTTGGACCCAGGAGTTCAAGGTCAGTATGGGCCATATACTGGGATCTCATCTCAAAAATAAATAGTATAAAAGATAATAACTAAACTGCACTAGAATAGCGGGGAAAGAAGGAAAGGACCAAATGTTAAATTCTGTCAAATGCAAACAGAGAAAAAAAAAAACAACTTTGCCCTTTCAGTGAAGTGAAACTGTAATAAATTCTTTTTTAAATTTTTTATTGTAAGGGCCAGGGAAGTGGCTCAGTGGCACCACACCTGCCTGGCAAGCACAAGTTCAATCCTCAGTGTTGAGGAAAATTTATTTATTTATTAATACACATTCATAGCACACAAAGACTACAATCATGGTTGATAAGTAGTATATGTACATAACGCATCTTATAATACTTTCTACATCCCCTTCTCTCCCTTCTCCCTCTTATCTTGGTCCCTTTCCCAGCACCAAAAGATCTATTTCCCTGTTTCCTATTTTCTATATGTATTTCACTCTTTGACTTATTTCTACTTTGGGTTTCTCACTTAAGAGAAACCATGAGATATTTAAGCTTGTGCCTGATTTATTTTACTTAACATCATGGTTTCAAGGTGCAAAACTCTTGATGATCATAAAAGAAAATCTCAGGTGTCTGTTCTACATACTTGCAAGAAAACAAGAAAAATAGCAACACCCAAAGTTAAGGAGTTTTAAGGTTTTAATCAAGTTAGACATATTTTTAAATACACTTACAACTTAGAAAAACAAAAGTAACCCATTTTGCCTACAGAGAACAGAGTTTGGTAAACAAAGGGAGGCATCTCGCGTTCCATCATCCAAGACAATGTAACCCATATTCTTCCCTCGCAGCTGTGTCCAGGCATTTCTGTGCTCCCTCTGTAAAGCAGGGAAGATGAGTGGACGGGGTGGTGTGTGATACAGTGCCTGGAGCTGCAGACAAACCTGGTCTAAGGTAAGAGAAAGGCACAGGACACAGCCTAAGCTCTAGGAGAAAATGAGCTTCTGGAAGACAATGCTTGTGTCCAAACGCCGGCTCCATTCTAGTAATAATGCTCATATGAATGTCTCCTCACCAGGACCATGACAGGAAAGCTGTGCCCCCCCAAAAGCTTCAATGAACCTCAAAGAAAGACCAGAGTCACCAAACAAGGAACTAGAAAAGCTGTCTAATGGCACTGTACAGGTACTTGATAATGATGACTAAATTACGTCCTGAAAGAAGGCTCTCCCGGCTCCCATGTTTGGGTCATAGTAAGCAAAGCCTACTGTAAACAGATGAGGTTCTTCTGTTGCTCCACCTGAGTCCAGGGTGAGAATTTTCCAGGAACAGAATAAACCAACAACAAAGCAGCACCAGATTCTTCCTCTTAGCACCACCAGGGGTCCAGTGAACTTTACGCATATTATTTGTTTCTCAAACCTCCACACCAGACACATTACCATCCCCATTTTATAAAGAAAATGAAATACTGTATAAGGGTACAAGTCTTTGGTCCAGGGCCCCACAGCCCATAATGCCAGCCAGTCCCAGTGTGCTGCCTATTCTGGAAGGAGCAGGGCCCACTGCTTGGCAGAGAGCGTCCCATACCATCCAGGAAAGAAGCTGGAGCCAAAGGGTTTTCCTTCTCACATCAAACCCAAAAATTCTCAGTATTTCCCCTACACTGAAATGTCAATGGACCCGCTTCAGCATCCTTTGGGCTAAAGAAGCATGAGTGTGCGGAAAGAGAAGGCCTGAGAGTAACCACTCCTTCAAAAGTCTTGATTTTCAGGGTCTTTTTCCCAGTTCAGTTTCATTCACTCTTCCATTCTTTCAGAGTAGAAGCCAGTCCATATCCTCCTGAGCCTGTGTAGGCTATGAGACCAGTTATTCTCTACACCCGCGTGGTACTTAACGCTGCTAAAATCTATCGATGCCAAAAAATACCAAGTGTTTGTTTAATAACTGAGTGCTGCTCACTTAGAAGGCAAAGTTCCTGGGAAGACAGTGAGAAGCAGGGTATAGAGCATTGAGCCTTGGCTCCACATCTGGAAACTCAAGTCTTTTTGTCTCCTCTGTGAGGCAGGATGTCATCCCCTCACCAATAATCTGAGGTATTGTGAGGCTCAAAGAGGACAGGATGTAGCTTGTTGAGAGTGGGTGCTTACCATGTACGAGGCCTTGGGTTCGATGCCCAGCACCATAAAAGAAGAAAAAGGAAAAAGAAAAGAAGCTACTAAGCTTGGGAAACAAGAGGTACAAAAATCTCTGATGTCATCCCCTCACCAATAATCTGAGGTATTGTGAGGCTCAAAGAGGACAGGATGTAGCTTGCTGAGAGTGGGTGCTTACCATGTACGAGGCCTTGGGTTCAATGCCCAGCACCATAAAATAAGAAAAAGGAAAAAGAAAAGAAGCTACTAAGCTTGGGAAACAAGAGGTACAAAAATCTCTAGGCAAGTACAAAGTGCCAAAAGAATCATTACTGCTCTCTCCAGGACAGGGACAGG